TTATCACTGAGAGTATCTCCAGTATGGATTTGCCATAGATTATTTAAACATTCATCCATTGAAGGACATTTGGGTGTTGTTTTCAATTTTTGGCTCTAATGATAAGGCTATACCATGTATAGGTTTTGGGGTGAAAACAAATTTTCATCTCTCTGGGATAAAAGCCTCAAGATTACAATTGCTGGGTCGTGTGGTAGTTGTATGTTGGTTTGTTTGTTTTTCAGGAAAGTGGGCAATAGTTTTCCAAAGTTGCTGTGCCATTTTACATTCCCACCAGCAATGAATTGAGTCATCCAGTTTCTCCTAATCCTCACCAGCATTTTGTGTTGTCATTATTTTTTATTTTAGCCATTTTGATAGGTGTGTAATGAAATCTCATTTTGGTTTTAATTTCCCTTACAACTAATGATGTTGAGCATCTTCTCATATGCTTATTTGCCATCTGTATATTCTCTTTGCTATTCATGTCTTTTGTCCATTTTCTAATTGGATTGTTTGTTTTATTTACCGTTGAGTTTTCAGAGTACTATTTTATATGTTCTAGATACTAGTTATTTGTCAGATATATGGTTTGCAATTATTTTCTCTCACTCTGTTGCTTTATTTTATCCTTTTAACAGGGTGTTTTGCAGAGGAAAAGTTTTATTTTGATGATGTCCAATTTATCAACTTTTCCTTTTATGGATCATGTTTTTGGTGTCAACTCTAAGAACTCTTTGCCTAGCCTTAGATCCGCAGATTTTTTCTCATTTTTTTCTAATAATTTTATGTTTATTTTTAAGTCTATGATCCATTTTGAGTTAATTTTTCCAAAAGATGTAAGAGAGAGATCCAAGTTTTGTTTTGTTTCGTTTTTGGCCTATGGATGTCTGATTACTCCAGCACCATTTGTCAAAAAGTCTATCTTTCCTCCGTTGATTACTATAGCTATACGTTGTCTTGAAATCAAGTAGACTGATCCTCCCACTTTATTCTTTTTTTTCAAAATTGTTTTAGCTATTCTTAATCTGTTGATGAGCAAGAACTGTGTGACTTTGCGAAAATATCAGAGGAAGGATAAGAGTCCCTTTGGAGTGTGATTGTGAGATTATGGGAGATGACACATACGAAGTACTTAATATAGTACCTGGCATATGATGTAGACACTTAGCTTTCTTCCTTTTGATTCTAAACCAACCATCAGAAATCCTTCACACACACAAAACTTTCTCTCCCAGAGTAATATTTTATATTATGTTCTCAGTTTTATGTAAATTTGTTATATATGCAACCAGGTAAGATAAATGTCCTCAGTAAGAAATATATGTGAAAGAAACAGTTCAAACAGGACCAGCTGTCACTCCCATCCACATCTGCATATGGGAACTATCCAGTCCATTTCCTTCCCACATCCTCACTTTGAGATATAAGAAGCTCTGGTAAGGACTCTAATCAGTTGGGCAGCTTTATACTCATCCAAACATCAACAGAACTATTCTGATGCCCAACGAGGAGAGATCAAGCTAGGTATACAATGGGAAAAAAATACATGGTTATAAATATTACCCAACTCATCAGAACTTATTTCTGAATAAGATATTGGTTATCACTGGCAAAACAGCAATGCCCCTCTCCACTTCAGTCCCACTGGCCTCTGTACTGACCCTCCCACTTTCCAGATATATTGCAGGAGGTTGAGGGCCTGTGTGCAGCCTGGAACATTTTTCCCCAGATGTCCACATGACTCTATCACTCATTTCCTTCAAGCATTATTCAAATGTCATCTTCTCAGAGGGGCCTTCTCTGATCAGTCTATTGAAATAACTCTACTTAATCCCTACACCCAATACTATTCAGTCTCCTTTCCTGCTCTATTTTTCTTCTTGGCTCCTATCACCATCTAAAATAGAACATGTATATTTGACATATTTGGTTAAATGATTTCATTGACTATCACGTAAGCTCCGTGAAGACCCTTATTTCACTGCTGTGTCTTCTGCAGCTAGAATAGTGCTGGTATATGAGACACTTTGCTGAATGAGTAAATAATAATAATGATAAATATTCATTGAAAGAATAAATAATAAATAAGCATAAATATCTGTTGGATGAATGAAGTAGAGGGAGTTCAAAAAGCCATTGGAAAACATCATGGCTTGACTGGTTTTAACTACAATATTTAAATCTAAGACCAGTGGCAACCTTAATAGGGAAGATCTGACATCAATTTTCTTCTAGGAAAATGTCAACTAAATAAACACATATAAATAGTTAAATGCATGTTTCACAAATTCTCTTATTTCCTTCCCCAAACCTTGGCCCACTCCTACCCTTCAAAAGAGATGAGAGATTAAAGAAAAAAATGCATCCCTTGTCCACAGGCCTTCTCCTCTCATCAGACTGCTCAGGTCCAAACTTGTGGAGACTTTCTCATACACACATTCAATTCAGAATCTGTGACCACTTCCACTATTCTTACTGCTATTGTCCCTTTAAGTCACAATCGGCTCTTGCCTGAAATGCGGCAAATTGTCTTCTAACTGGTTTTCCTGCTGCCAAATCTGACCCTCCACAATCTTTTTTTCCAAATAGCCAGAGCGCTATGGACTGAATTCTGTCTCCCTAAAATTCATATGTTGAAGCTCTAACCCTCAATGTGACCGTATTTTGACATAGGGCCTTTATGGAAGTAATTAAGGTCAAATGAGGTCATAAAGGTAGGGCGTTAATCCAATAGGCCTCTCTCCTTATAATAAGAGATCCCAGAGAGCTCAGTCTCGCTCCACCATGTGAGGACACAGCAAGAAGGTGGTTGTCTGCAAGCCAGGAAGATAGCCCTCACCAGAACCCAACCATACTGACACCTTGATCTCGGACTTCCAGCCTTCAGAACTCTGAGAAAATAAATTTCTGTTGTTTAAGCTACCCAGTCTATGGTATTAGTCAGTCTCAGCTCAGGCTGACTAATACATAGAGTAATTCTTTTAAAAACTTAAGTCACACCATGACATCTCTCTGAGTAGAACCCTCCAATGACTTCCCACTCCTCTCAAAGTATTAGTTGAGAGTTCTAACAATCCTAGCAGTTGCCTTTAGGAACATATAAATCCTGGCTCCTTTCCTTCCTAATCCCACTTCCTACTACTCTCCCCACCCATCACTTCCTCCAGCCACACCAGCCTCCTCCCTGGTTCTTCAACCCACCAGGCATGTTCCTATCTCAGGACCTTTGCACTAGCTGTTCCTTCCACTGGAATTCTCTTTCCTCAGATACTGACCTGGTTCACTCCTCACTTCCTTCAAGCCTTTACTGGAATGTCATCTTTTCAATGAATACTACTCTACTCTGACCACACACTTGAAATTGCAAACAAACCCCCTCCCCGTAGACTGCATTTATGATCCTCACATCTTCTGCTCTATTTTTTCCATAGCATTTATCTCCTTCTAACAAACAATATAATTTACTTGTTTTTTTATATTTTATTGTCTGTCTCCCTCTGTTAGAGTATTAAGCTTTTGTCTGTTTGGTTCAGAAAGTATTCTGATCATTTAGCTCACTGCCTAACACATAAAATGCATTCAATAAATAGTCATTAAATAAAACTGATGGAGAAGCAGACAACCTGGGTTCCAGTCCCAATGCTGTCCCCACTATGCTGTATGACTTAGCCTTATAGCTGTTTCTTTGTGTGTAATATAAAAACTTTGGATCATACTAGGAAGCAAGCCTACTTTTTTCCATGGTCCTGACTTAATCCTTTCTCATCAGCATGAGGTCCTACTCATGCTATTCATACTTATGTGGTCCTGCCCCTTCCTTTATTAGGCATGCTGTTTCCTTTCCCAGACCTCCCTCCTTGATTCATAATGTTGATAATCAGTAAATATTGGATAAACTGAAATTTGATTCACTCGCCAAAAAAGCATAAGCAATTTCTGACAGAATTGTTACATCTTATGGTGTTAACTGGTCTCTAGTTCTAAAATCTATGTTAGAATGATATGAGAACTTCTAAAAACATCGAGCTAGAACTTCTATGATACGTTCTCTAAAGGCATATTTATATTTCTTTACACAAAGAAGTGTCACTTTAATTTAGGTATTAGTTAGCACCTCACCGTTTAAATACTGAATAAGGGTTTAAAGATCTCAACTATTCCATGTTCTCCTTTTGTTGTTAATGTTAAAAGGATATTTGAGATGCTGCTAGCAACATCTCACAGAAGTTATTATTTTAATGAATTTGAGGTATTTATTTCTAAATATCAGTTCAATAGATTTGCAACTTTAGAGTTTAACTGTACCTTCAGTTTTAACCTAAAGTATACATAAGTTATAACTTCCTTTTAGCAACAAAATGTTTGGTTTTCAATACTCTTGAGAATTATTCCAATAAATCCAAATAAATATTATTCTAGTTCCTAATTATAATAGGAGAATGAATTAATAAATTAGATTATCTGAAATGAGTTTAGATTTTTAGTGATTTAGGTGACTTTTTCAGCAGGTATTTAGTGAGTACCCACTATGCACAGGTATTTGATTGGTTGCTGAGGATTAAAAAATAAAACAGTTCCTACTTCAAGGAGCTCACAGATTAGTAGGAACCAATTTATGTTGAAGTAATAACGGGTTTTAACACAAAGCAAAATTTAAACACAATTCTTTAGTAGTTTTTTAAAATGTGTATATCAATTAGCACAGGGAAATATACGGAATTATTTTCCCAAAGATTAGCAGTGGTCATCTGACTGATACTTGCAACATTTTAGAAATATGCATGTATTATCAAAAAACATGCTAAAACAGTATTTTCAATCAGTAGTTTCAACCCGAAGAACTAAAACCGAAAAGAAGTTGGGTGTGCCATACACAGATGAAATCATTTTAGCCAAGAGATACAAGTTTCGGTGCAGAATGTTCCTAAATGTTTTCCGGGAAGAAGGCTGCCCTGGTCGGAAGAACAACCTCGGCGGCAGCGTCTCCTGTTTGAAAATTTCTTTCCTTCCGGCCAGACAGGCGCAAAACCCACTGGCGCACAAGTTCTTCCTTTCATCCACAAACGCTCGACCACGAAGCTGGAAAAGTGATCAAATTGGCTAAGAATTGGAGGACGCAACGTATCTCAGGTCCACTGAGACTCGGCCTCCCCAGGCCTGGCTCAGATTCCGCTTTCCGATTGGTCCCTACGGCAAGAGGGCAGGGACAATTGCTGAAGTTGACCTCTGGGACCGGAAGCGGGCCAAGATGGCGGCGGCCAGGTGTTGGAGGCTTGTGCTCCGCAGTCCGGGGCTGTCCTTGCACACCGCGGCCGGGGCCGCTGTCGCGGCTCCAGAAGTGACCGGCCCAGATGTCGCGGCGGCCGCTGTCGCGCGGTACCCGCCGATTTTGGCCTCCCTGAAGGCCAAAAGCCAGGCGGCACGGCAGCGGCGAGTGGAGCGGTGGCAGGCGATGGTGCACGCGGCCGAGTCGGTGGACGAGAAGCTGCGAATCCTCACGAAGATGCAGTTCATGAAGTACGTAGTTTACCCGCAGACCTTCGCCCTGAACGCCGACCGCTGGTACCAGGGCTTCACCAAGACCGTATTCCTGTCGGGCCTGCCGCCGCCGCCGCCCGCCGAGCCCGCGCCCGCGCCCGCGCCGACCCTGGACCTGGCGGCCCTGCGCGCCGCCGCGTGTGACTGCCTCCTGCAGGAGCACTTCTTCCTGCGGCGCAAGGGGCGCGCGCCCCTCTACCAGGAACGCGAGGCCATCGCCTCGCCCTTCCTGGATCAGCTGGTGGCCGCCCTCATGGGCCTGCTCAGCGTGCACAATCCGGTCCTGGCTGTCGCCGCCGCCCTCGGTGAGCCTCGGGCCCGCCACGCCGGGCGAGGGAGGTGGGGATTGGAGGTGGCCACTCCGGCCCAGGTTTGCCCCCTGTTCATTCCTTTCTCTCTGTCTTGTTAGTCTTTCTCTAGTCCTTTCGCTCCTGGGTGGGTGCAGCCTGGTTTAGTAGCAGACACTGCACTAGGAATCTGGAGACTGGGTTCTCTTACTTGTGCTGCCACCTAACTGTACAACCCTGGACTAGTAGCCTAGGGTCTCCAGGCCTTCAGTCCTTGACTCTGCTTTGTGAAGGGCCAGCCAAATGGAAAAGTAGTGTTAAGTACCTTTTGGCTCTTTCACCAGAAAGTTCCGTGAACATATGTCAGTTCATTAATCTCTTTTAGCTGAATTTTTCTCATTCTCAAGATGAGAATTATAATAATAGTACTTCATTATAGAATTGTAAGGATTAAAGATGATATTGATTGAAATACCTAAGGTTTATTCAGTACTTACTATGTGCCTGGCCCTCTTTTAAATTTTGTATGTGCCAAATCATTTAATTCTCACAATAACTGTTTACAGTAGGTAGCGTTGTTTTATAAATGAAAAAAAAGATCTGCAACACAGGAGTGTAAAATGCATCTCATCAAAAAGCCTGTAGCTGGTAGATTTGCAGGTCAGGATTCAAACCCAGCCATTCTGGGTTCTCAGTAAACAATCTGCAGCTTCTATTACCCAGTCAGTGCAGACATACAAAATAATTAATGGATAAACAGTTTTAAAAATCAGTGTTTCTGATGTGTTCATCATTTTATATCTACCACCCAGTAGGTGTCTTAATATGTATTGAATTAATGTTATTGTGACTGTAGATATGTGCTCAACTGAGTCTTGTAGTCTGCATGTTACTTCCCTCTCAGTTGAGAAGGAAGTTGTCTTGAGGGAAGCATCATGGACTTTGCTCATGATTGATGGCCTAGAAAAACTTGCTTAACCTTGTCAAGACCCAGATTCCTCTTCTATAAAAAGGAGACGATGACAGCTGTACATACCTTTGAGAGTTATTGTGAAGATTGAGTTAGTAATTCTACTAAGACAGCTCTGACTCCTATTAAACTTTTTATTTCTGGTGAGTGATATTCCTGTTTATTCTTAACTGAGAAATCTCTTTGGGTACAGTGTTTAGCGATAGCACAAGTAGACAACAAATGTAGACAATAAATGTTTGAGCGTTATATTTGTCATGATCATTTAAGTTGTCATATAACCCAGACTCTTTATGTTATATCAAAGAGTAATTTTTGATATATTTTTAATTAGCACAATCATTCTTGAGTTCTGTATTGCTGAGTTTAGTATTCTAATAATAACCAAATTTATCTAAATAGATAAAAAAATTTGAATATCTTTTGATAGATTGTAAACGCCCAGTTGACTTTTACTGGCTGCGTGGTGAAGAAATTATTCCTCGTGGTCATCGGAAAGGTCGAGTTGATGCTTTGCGATACCAAATAAATGATAAACCACACAACCAGATTCGAATATCCAAACAACTGCCAGAGGTGAGGATTTATTGTGTCTGGATCTGTCAACATCTGATGAGGAAATGTCATAGGCAGGCTAGGTAATGGGTTTGGTAGGGTACAAAGTTTTGGCTGAATCCCTTGCCTTTCAAGTTTCTTTTGAATACATCTTTTTCTGAAGGATAAAGTTCTTTTTCAGCTTTTTAATCTACTATGGTATATATATATTCTGCAAAGTTCAAATAATCATTTTAAGTAGGGTTAAGGAATCAGTTTTTAGGACCATATAAATCTTTTCTTTTTCTTAATATAAAAATACTGATAAGTTTATGATTGTAATTTACAGTAGACTACCCTACCTAATCATAAATCAAGGCATCTTTACAGTTATAAGCTGATCATTTTACATATTTACAGTTTTTTTGGAGAAAACATGTATATTTTGAGTGTTCTCTCTGTGTCCACGTCAGAAGTTGGCACATTTTTTTCCATAAAGGTCCAGATCCTAAGTATTTTAGGCTTTGGGGGCCAGAGGTCTGTTGCAGCTATTCATCTCGGTTCTTACTGGGTAAAAGCAGCCATGAACTATATGGAAATGAATGTGCATGACTATGTTCCAATAAAACTTTGTTTTGTAAAAACAGGTGGCTGGCTGGATTTGGCCCATCATTAGATGGTAGTGTTATCAAATCATTTTTAAAAAGATCTTATTTTAGAGGCCAGCCCCGTGGCGTAGCGGTTAAGTGCGTGTGCTCCACTGCTGGCGGCTGGGTGTGGATCCCGGGCGTGCACTGAGGCACAGCTCATCAAGCCATGCTGTGGTGGCATCCCATATAAAGCGGAGGAAGATGAGCACAGATGTTAGCCCAGGGCCAGTCTTCCTCAGCAAAAAGAGGAGGATTAGCATGGATGTTAGCTCAGGGCTGATCTTCCTCACAAAAAAAAAAGATCTTATTTTAAGATTTTTAAGTCTATTAAGAATGTGAGTTAAATATATACTAGTGTTGCCGTGAATTCACTTACGACTTTTCTTTTTAAGTTTGTGCCGCTGGATTATTCTGTACCTGTAGAAATCCCTGTTATGAATTGTAAGCCAGACAAACTTCCATTATTCAAACGGCAGTATGAAAATACCGTATTTATTGGTAAGTTTTTCTTTTGATGCATTGTCCCAGAAATGTGTTAACAGTGTCCTGTGCAAATATGCAAAGTTAATTCTTGATGACCAAGAGGTTTAGCTAGTCCACGAGCAATATAATTCATAATCTCAGGTTGTTGCAATATGCATGAAAATTGGAAAGAAAATATTCTTTCAGCTCACCATTTAACATTTTACTTGTTTCTA